TTTTCTATTCTGTGATTCCATATTATTCCATATTTCATATGATTACCTATACCATCTTAAGCCCCTTCTAAGGCCCAGATCTTATGAACATAAAAATATGGCAATTCTCCCGCTTTACGTGCCTACTCTACCTTCTCTTGCCATCCCCACAACTCATCTATTGCCATCCTATTGTTTTTATTGATCTTTCTTTTCCTATTATTTTCCTGATGGCAACATCAGTCCCTTTGGTATTCTAAAAGGTACAGCTTGATGCAGTCTGTGGCACCAAGGAAACGTCAAAGCAAAAGTTTTTCCTTACTTTCTGTTCATTGGTGCTTACTCTGCGAAGTGTCTCCATTTCATCAGCCTGGCTCAGTTCCACAGGGTGTGTGGAATATTCAGGCTTTGGAGTGACTGTCACAGTTCTGCATAGATGTAACGGGTGATGTGATAAGGGTGTGATATAGTTTGCAGGGTGATAAGAGCTCTTCTATGCCATCACAGGGAATGGTTTCTCTAGTAAACAGAGCTTCTCATCTGTTGATGTGAAGAGAACTGTGTAGCACAGTAAGAACAGATATAATTTAAAGAAGACTGAGGCCATGTAGCTCATTTTCTTTCTTTTCCTTTTTCTTTCTTTTCTTTGAGTGTGCAATTATTTTTGGGCATGTGCACAATATATCTCACTGTATCCCTTTCCAGAGGCCACTTATTGGTTATGACAAAGGTTATGTCATAACCTCTCTGGATAAAGCAAGAAATCATCCTGACATGATGGAGAAAGCTCTGCGAGACCAAATGTCTTGCAATAAAAAGCAGACTGTAATGCTGTGGCAGTCATGACAGCCTCACAAAATCTAGCCATGACGGTTCTTTGCAAGGAGGAAATGTTTGCGGGTAGATTGGGGTGGAAGGAGCAATGCAGGGCCAATGCTTTGACTGAGGTACAGGCAGTGGTTGTCAGGAGTGTAAGGTCACTCCACCATGAATCAGTTTAGGGCTATGCTCTTACCACAGCCAAATGCCTGACAGCAGGCAGAAGGACAAAGCAAGATTCAAGTTTGCAGACTCAGGTATTAAAAGTCACATAATCACCAAAACTAAACATGAGCTGCAAAGCTGAGCCTGACCAAACACTCAAGCACTAAGCCATGCTAATCTTTGTGTTGGTTTAACTTCAGCACTCATATTAGTTAGCAGAAAGCTAGCTTGGATGCATCAGCATGAGTTGAAACAGCCTTTTTATTACCCCATGCAAATATGTAGAGTCAAGACATCTGAACTACAGGTCAGCAATTTTCATAAACTTTCTCTTCCAGTGCTTCCTAGGAATAAAGGCCAGCTCTAAGCCCAGGTCTTTAAAACAGAGAAATGTATGTCATTACATAAGAAACCTCAGAACTGCCCGTTTACTGTACTTTAATACCTTCT